CCAGTTTAGTAAGTATTGCGTTAACAAGCTTACGAACAAGTATTGACACTCTAGATATCAATTCATGCAATCGTCAACATTTCGTAATACACGTCCAGTAATTATATTGCTCGTGACGCAAAAGGCCTTTTACATCTTTTTTCTTGATCTTCAAAGTTGTCGATATTATCTCTTTTCAACGCGTAATGATAGCAGATTTTTTCACTTTTTTGTAACCTGGCTGGCGACCCTCGTTCAGGCTGATTAATTATTATTGACTTCATGCATTAAAGAACTGTGGTAAATAAAAATGGCCATTAAGAACCCGCGCGGCTTATTTACACCTGTTTGAGATATGCACATTTTTTGCCCGTTGTTCAGTAAACTTTTCTCAATACCCTCTCGCAAGTCAATTTCTCAGAATTAAAACTTGTGTAAGTGACATAATATGCGTTAGTTTCCGTATGGGGTGAAGAGGGGGAGGGGGAGGAAATAGAAACAATCGCTATACAAACGGTGTAAAAGTGCGTTATTCCGCAACTAACCTAACTCAATATCGCAGGAAATCGGGAGTGTAGCGTTCTGAGATTTCATTAAAATCGAAGATACCCACCCTACGTACAGGAATGCCCGTCGGCTAGAAAGAAGTAGCCTCGAAGGGGCGCGATGTTTGGGATAATCGATAATCGCGGGAGGGTAGAACGCTTTCAAAAGCCGCCCTCGTATGGCAAGCAGTTATTTTTATATAACTGAAACACTTTTTATACCCTAAAGAATCTATCTATATCAAGTTCAATTCCATTCGATGTTATACCTTTTTGATTACTAACGTAATCTCAACGTCTAAATAGCCGCGCAATTTTTGATAAAAATTTCGTCGAGGTAAAAAATTAATTTAATGTTAAATTTAGATAGCATCTCGTTCGTTTAACGCATCAAAAAATTAATCCCCGAAACATCAGTTATCGCGGTAGTCGCTTGAGTATCCTGGAAATTGTCGAGACTTCGTCAGATTTTAAATGAAGCCAACGTTGAAAGAAAACAACTTTTTCTTGCGATCCGTAAGAAACGTCCGTGCGTGCGCACACGATTGTGTTTTCTTTCTTTGTTGGCGCGTTATTGGGTAACTCGTTCGACGTACAAATTACAGTAGCAATGTACACGGATGTCGCACGTCCGGCCCTCAATCACCCGGACGGAAAATAATCGCGCGCGGTCCTCGATAAAACGCCGACTCGGCAACTCGAGCCTGCATATGGCGCGGACAGATGCTCTCCGCAACAAACCGCTCTTCCGCACCGCTTTCGAGCTCCGAGGAGAGCGCGCGAAACGGACACGGGCCTGAGCGCGAGAGCGGCCGTACCGTCGCACACCTCCGTGTCGAATTTCGTCGAACGTATTTCCCTTTTTTTTCTCCCCCTCCTCCACCCCTCGCGCTCGACGTCACACGACACCTTTGGAAATCGGGCACGGAATGTAATCCGCGATAGAAATGACGGTGGTAACGTGTGCCGGCGCGGTAATTAGGGTGGTGCCGTCGTGAATACCGAGAGCGTGCAAGGTGGACCACAAATACTATTGCTGTAATAATCGCTGGGGTCCCAAAGCCGATCGTACCCGACATCTGGGTATAGTGTTGCCGTAATATACGAGATCGTGAACAAAATCGACCTCCGCGACGGATTTTTAAACAATAGCGTTTCCTGCTTTATCTTAGATTTATTTACGTACAATTAGTTTTATAATTATTGTGTCTAGTGTCATGGTATATATTTCTTTTCTTTAAAAAATAATTTTATCGCTGTTTTATTATATATGAACTGAATCGTTTAAAATTCCATGATTTTTTAAGCAAAATCTTAAAAAGCAACTCATAGCAGCCTGCATTTTTCAATATTTTTTCGCTATATTTTTATATTTTTCTATATTCTTTATTCATTATTATTATTATTCCATATTTTTTTATATTCTTCGCACGAATACGGTCACGAAAATGAATCATTCAAAAATAAACATTACAAATGGAAAAGTGCCGTATAACCAACGAAATTAGATCTCCGTGATACATGCGACAATTAAGTCAAGTATCTCCGAAGAGTAAGACGCGTTTATCGTCCTGTATACAATTTGTCGCGAGAAAGACTTGAAGGACGTATATAGGTTTACGCCGAAGATCGGAAGATTCGTGCTCGGCACGATTTCCAGCCACGTAGGGTGTATTACACGGGGCGGACGACTCCGGTACCGTGGCAAATGCAAATGTCGCGCGAGCACCGCGCGGCCGCAAGGTCCCTCCTGGCCCCCCTCGCGGGAGATCGACGATCGCAATCACCGATGTCACGGCGAGAGGACGACTTATTGGCCGCGACTCCCCTGATAGATCGATACCACGCCCGTCATTACCGCGTCCACCCCGCGAACGTCGCGGAGATACGCCGCGGCGTCCTACAAATAACAACGCCGGGTGCTTTGTTAATGAGGTATCCGGCCGGCCGATACACGTGACCGGATCTCCGTCCGTTTTTTTCATTCCCTTCTCCGCGAACGTGGTACCGGCCCGCGTATGGTGCCACGATTTCCATGCTTCCGCGCGCGCGGTGGATCCACGAGGAAGGAACGCGCAATCTAAGATTACACGCCGCTTACGCTGGCATTTGTTAGAGACACAAGCTTCCTTCGCGGTAACGATCGGTTAAGCCTTGACGAAGCTGAAGATTAAAATTTAATTATACGTATGTGGAAAGTACATATGAAGGGATCATGTTACAACTCATATGTATGATGAAGAAGCTAACTTTTTACTCTTTTAAATTGTTTCGAAATAGGAGAGAATTGTAGTTTAAAACTTTTCCTGAAAATCATATTAATCGTGGGTCAGCATTTTGACGAATTTTATGTGATTTTCAATATTTTTCTTTAATATATACTACAACAAATTTATTGTAGTGCACAAAAAAACAGAGAAAATCACATAAAATTTGTCGAAATACTTATGTTGTCCCACGATTAACATGATTTTCAGGGTAAATTTTAAAAGAAAATTCTCTCCGTGTATATTTAAATAAAAAAAGATAAGAGGCTATATAATAGATTAGAATATATACATTACGTAATTGGGTATAATATGCATGTATACAATTTAATAAACATAATTCATATAATTCATATTGTAATTATAATTGTAATACGTAATTATAATATGAATATAATTTAATAAATATATAATTCATGTGATTGTCGCTTAATGAAACAATGCGCATTGTATTGAATACTTCAAATATCGTACTTTCACATACGAATCGAATTGTAGTTCTAGCTTATACGCCACTTAAGTACAATTTTTCTCTTCTTGTATTAAATACACAACATTGCAGATTTAATAGCATCTAAATAAATTTGTCAAGAATCGCGATCAAGTAACGTTAAATTTACAGCGTTATTTGCACGATGATCGTTATTTTAATTAACGACATAAATTTCAATATTATATGAATCGGGGTCTTGTCACGTTATATTCAGCGATGTGCAACGAGAAATCTGGCCTTCTTATCGCGAGCATTCCAAGCGCGTTTAGTTCCTTTCGGACGCTTACTATTCATATAGAGATTTTCAACGATTATAATTTATTGTATAGAGTGTTTGTAAAGTATCAAATTCATTCAATAAATCAAAAATTTACAATCCCAAACGCTCTCTAGTCTGCGCTCTTCACCATCAGCGACATTTCAAAATTTAATGCGCAATTAGCAAACGAGCCTTTGATCCTTCGGAAAAAAACGCGAAGCCTTCCTTTTTTTGACAACAAATTAATTGAATGCAAGTTCTTTCCTTGGCACGGCCGAGGCTCCGTTCGAGCTCACAACAAAAAGTACAATAAATATTTAATTTTTTCAGTTCGAAGAACACTCGCTTGATCAGCTATATGGCAGTGTATCGGCAATGAGCGAAACTGTCACGATGCACCACGGCGAAAAAAAATACAAAAAGGACATGCATACAGGCATGTAAACGCAAAAAAAAACTCAAGTCTCGAATGTTTAATGTAGCAACATGACATTGGTGTCTGTCGGAAGAACGCGCAAGATTGATTATGCATGGATTACGTAAGCCGCTGAACAAATCGTTACGAAGGGTCAAAGGATTAAAGAATGTAAAACTGCGTATCGGTCGTATCACATGCGTATCTGTCGCCTATGTTATACCCGGCTGTATAATATTCTTTTTTGCAGTTGACTATATTTTAGAGTTGATTATACCGGTAGCCTTGTAGCGCGCGTGCCTCATTAGATTATTCATACCGAGTCGTTAGACATTATCCGAGTGTTTAATTTATCCGCGAAAAACATTGCGGTCGTTTTCATGTAAAATTGTTTCAATCTTACACGGATGCTGCCTTTCCTCCTTGTATAGGACATCGTTTTCTATTGTAGCGATTTTTCTATCTGCAGATTCGCGTGACACGTACGTTTTTTACAATTATGCGAAATTTTACAATATACATCCCGTACATTTTTTTATGGATTTTTTTACCTTTAAGACCCGGTTTTTCATTTAATAAAATTGTGTCTTGCTATGATTAATCATCAAACTGATGGTTTTATAGGAATAATTTTAAAACTATAATTACAAAACCATCTGTTTAATGATTAATCATAGATATCAAATCACAATTTTCACATCATAAACAAATAAGATATTTAGATTAAATACCTGATAAAGATTAACTCTTGGAAAGTTGTCGGGAGGAACTCAAGTTTTTCTAATCCGCGTCATAATGTGTTGCATGCATTATTAAAACAATATACGTGGCTGTTTATTATGAAGCAGAAATCTAATGATCGATTTAAACAATTTCCAAATCATATTACGTGCCGAATGCATTATTAGAATAATTCGTGACTGGTTATTCGTGATATTATATTCGTGACGAGATAGAAATCGATTTAAACAGTTTCCGTGAAATCCTTTTTTTGCGGTCAATCAGCGTATTCTCGACGGGAAGGCATATTTTAAGCACTTACCACGTGAATCCCCTCGGTGTCTCTCCTGAGATCGCCGCTCCTCTGGCCCGCGGTGACGGCAGCGCTCAGGTGATTGTAGTGGTGCTGGTGCAGCGTGTTGAGCGTTTGCGTATAAGGATCGCCGACGAGGTAATCCAGGTGTTGCGGTTGGCCGAGGCCGGGATGCTGGGGGCTAGCGGGCGCATGGTGATGCGAGGGAAACGGGGGTGGAAAGTAGGGGGGTTGGAAGTCGGAGGCGGTCGGCAGCGAGGCGCCCCCGTGGTGGGGCATGCCGCCCCCGTTTCCGTTTCCCCGGTGTCCGTGGTGATGGGCACCGGAATAGGGCGACGAGTTCCCGCCGCCCAGCGAGGAAATGCCCCCATGACCAGTCAGACGGTCCTGCGGAAAAAAAAAAAAAAATACGATATATACTTAATTGTCGAAAAGAATATTCTAGTAAATATGTAGATCCGAGCGTCGTATTTCGAGGATACACAATTAATATCTTGCGATAGAGACAACTATTCATAATGATTCTATTGAGTGTTAAGGAGGATTTGAAAGGAGTTAAGGACGTGCAACGCCACGAAGAAACGAGGAAGCTGTAACTTCTATTAATCCAACAGATTGCGTGGACGTACTATTGATTGAAGCGACGCTATAAAATTCCACTTGAAGCTTCCTCAAGCGCACATTATATCCCGCTGAAACTTCGAAACTTTTTCTTACGACTTTCTGCCTGGTTCGCTAATGGAGATAAGCATTTTGTCACCGACGTTTCCGATTGTAAAATAGCCATCGTTTCTTTTTTTGTAAATCGGCATGCCTTTGACAGAAGCGCCGGTGTTCAGCGAGGCTGTGTTTCTCATTTACCGCGAAAGATATCTGATGTGAGATAAGAGTTCTCGTTCCTGTTTATAGATGTACCAAAATAGGTTGTAATATCGCGTTAAGTTTTGCTACTAGGAAAGTCCGAGAGGTTAATCAATTAGCTTCGGCGAAACAGAAGAAAATGAATCTCCTTCCATTTACAAGATCTACGTACAGTCGCCCGGCGTAGGATTCACTTCTCGCGGCGGTAATTACAGACTATGTACAACGTACATCCGATCCATCCGAGATAAGAGATACGTCACACACATCACGTGTTGCATCTGATGCGAAAGGGTTAAGCATCGCGCATTAGCCAGAGCGGACCGAAATTACATGGCAACCAACATAGCAACGGACAACACAGTAACGCACGGAAATTTCCTCCATCCGATTAAATCTACACGTTATCTTGTGGTTTATTTAGAAAACACCTGTTTCAATAATTTTGGATAGCTTCCAGAATAACTTCCTAGCTTTCGTTATTTCATATAAGCTATTATATAATAATCAAGGAAAATATAATAGATTACATATTATTGATATAAATGGATTTTACTTTGAACTTTCTTGCCTAATGATGACAATTAAAATAAACGGGACATCAAATAATCCAGAAATTCCAAATACGAAATATGTATTTATTTAATATAACGATTATTAATACTCCGATAACAACATTAATGGGATATACTATATAATTATTATATTATTATTACTAATATAATATTATAAAATTACAATAATTATAATTATAATAAAAATACAACTGAAATTTTCAATTCTTGAATTTAATTAAGCTACTGTATCTATTTTATTAATAAATCAGCTTTAATCGTTTAATTCCACTAATTCTAATGAGCAGTGTAGTTGGAATAAGCCGGTTTCAAAATTTGCCGCGCAACAACAAGAGCCAGATTATTATAGCAGATAGTGATTATTATAGCAGAAAGAGGTAAACATAACCGGGCGGGGAAACTATGCAAATCTCACAGTAATCGGTGCGTGCACAAACAGCTTATAGCCTAGGTAAAATGCAAGTGCTGATAGTTCAGCGGATCGAGGAATATAATCTCTAAATTATAACCGATAGAGATTGCGTTGCTGCAGCCGATAATTTATAAACCGATAAGATATAAAGGATAAAATCAGAACTGAGAAAATTCGTGATATTTTGCTCAAACTATATATTATAACGCATTTATGTTTTTTAATAGTCTTTGAATACCATTTAAACTTCTAATAAAAATAGATAATTTTATAGTTGCTATTTATCATTTTATAATAATATCATTATCTATCGAATATTTTTCTTGTTTTTCACTTATGGCCATTTTAAATTCTTTTTTATATTTTAATTACTTTTATATAATCTCATATAACTTTATAATTTTTACAGTTTAATATATTTTAGTAAATTTTTAATATTATATATGCGTATATTCGCATACAATAATATTTAAATATGATGCACATCTTGTATTTATCTCTCTCTCTCGTATTTTTCTAAAATTTATATTTATATCTACATAGCATAATCCTATTTTGTGTTTAAAAAGTAGTGCATATAATGCTAGATAAAAACGCTGTCACTAAAACGAATTCAGCAAAAACAAAATCATTTTAGATCTCTATATTCAACAGAGGAAATCGACGATACCTTCCCGTAACTCCGTTTAAGTTTCGCGTATAAGCTCGAGATCCGTAGATCTCGATTTACCTTCATCCATCGACACCTTCTCGCGGTCCAGCGCGGTGCCGCTTAATCTGGCCCGCGTGATCTCGCGATACGAGCTCTCGATTGCACGGTGTTACGTGCACGTAGATAGTATCACCCGGGGTGTGTGTGGATACATCTGGATATCGGGGAGGCTTTTTGCCGCGGCGCGCATCACCTTGCGTGAGCCATTAGGTCTTCACTCGCGTCGCGATACGATCTCGAACGACTCTATAGACCGCGAAAAGGCCGGACTGCTAGTCTCGTCGCTGCGCGTATTACTCGTACCTGAAGGGCACGTGTAATGCCCAGTGCGTCGTATTCCCTCGAATTTGTTAGAAACATACGAGCGTTAGAACTCTCCCGTACTTCCGTAGAGAATCGAATCCCTCGGAATTGGTCGAGGATGATGGAAATATATATGTTGCACCTTTTCGATTGACCTTTGAATACTGCCGCGAAACCGAACGCCCGCCGTAGGGCCCGGTTGTGATCTCTCCGCGCGTGACTGATGCTCGAAAACACAGATTTTTCGTTAACATTCTGGCCCGCAGCTACGCGCTTGCCGACGAAAGTTAAAAGACAAAAAGTGACGACTCACGAATTGTTCCATTATGAAAGATACGTCAGAATAATTAGGAACATATGTGATACAAAAATAAAAGAAGATAATCAAATTTATATCGATTTTTCATATATACACGGTGCGACAAATTTCCCGGAATGGCGCTATAAAAATGAAACAAATTGAGTTTTTTCAGTTTTCTCTTTTTCTTTATTCAAAATATTCTCCTGATTTAATACACTTTTTGCAACGATTCAAAAATGATTCAAATGACTACTCCAGTTCATTTTGTGGTATTGCCTCCAAAGTACGGAGTCATTTGAATCATTGTTGAATCGTTGCAAAAAGTGTATTGAATCAGGAGGAAAATATTTTGAATAAAGAAAGAGAGAAAACTGAAAAAGCTCAATTTGTTTCATTTTTATAGCACCATTATTATTTATTATTTGTCGCACTGTGTACGTTAATATAGAAAATAAACATGAACGAAATGTATGAAAAGCCAAAACTTAAGAAACGTCACTTTCGCAAAACAATCTTCCATGTTTCATTATTTATCGCTTGAATTTGTATTTATTAGTACAAGAATATTTTTTATTATACAAGTCCCATACCTGATTCATGTATGCGTGCATGCGATGTATATGTGTGTTTAAGTATGTAATTGTCACATATAACTAGTCATTTATTGACCATTAGTCTCGTGAAAGATATGTTTTTACTAATGTCACAAAATTTCCAGAAATATCATATATGCCACGCTGTAAAAATTTCATGTTCCAAGACAAGCACGTGCTTCTAATCATCAAAAAATAAAATTTATCGTTGTTAATCGTCTCGTAAATGGAAACTTTCGAAATGGTAGCTTGAAACTTTAGCATAACATTGCAAAGGATGTATACTTATATAAGGCAGTTTATTACACGCCAAAAGATATTAATCTCAATTGCGTGTGTTTGCTTTTACATACTTTGTTACCGACGCGGTCAAAATGTGTCTCGTGAAAGAGCGCTATCACTGTGAGTTGCAAGAAGAAATGGCAAAACTTGCCCCGTAATTTTTGATAATCTTTCGCATCACAAAAAACGTTGCTTCGGACGAACGTTGTGCAGATATTAAAAGACTTAAAATTTTCAGAGTAAACTTTATATATTCTAAAATGCGAGAGCGCGCAAATATTATATAATAAATCGCGTGGGCGTTTAGACATATATTATTTGTACGCAGCGCACATATGGCGTGGATATACTGACTGAAGACAAACACAACAAGGATAGGAAAGAAAGTCGAGAGTCGAAATCGCGCATTTTAAATGTCGAATATGTATTTGTCTTGTACTCGCGCTCTTAATCGGGTGTGCCGAATTCGTTGCCAAACGAATCCGCGCTCTCTTACGCCTACAAAAGTCGATGCCGCCGTAACGCGTATATACGCGCTCCCGGGATCATTGCCAAATAAACCGATACCGATCGTAACGCTGTTACACGCGAAAAGGAGGAGGGGGAGAAGGAGGAGAAATCGCGTTGATGTATGAGCATGACGTGGGAATTCTGTATCGGTGATATCGGTAACGGGCGTGTGTGATATTTTAAGCTGAACAATCCGCAAAAGCGGCAGCCCCCTTCCTTCACAAAGAGCACAGAGGAGCTCCTCCGAACTTTCCTGCTGAGATCACCGTTGATAAGATTGGAGAAAGCGTCGCTACACGCGCGCGCGCACGCACACACATACATACATATACACACGACACGTGTACAATTAATAACCAATATAAACCGGCCCCACCGCGCATGGCGAAATTGCGGCGATGGGAGATTAGGCGTAAATAATTTCGAAGAAAAATATATGTACAAGGTGTACGGTCACGGACAACGTCCCGATCAACGGTGATTAAGTTAATTTTAATGGCCGCTATATACGTGTCCGCGCAAAGTATCCGGGGAATGTGAACATATACGAGGGAATTTTATAGCGTCGATTATCAAATGCGGCGACATTGGAATCGTAATAAAATAAATGTTATATTATCATTAACGTGCGTGCGAGTCACGCGTGTGTGATGATTTCGTCACATCCCCGATTAAGTCAAACCTTAAGGTCAATTTATCTTAAACCGTTAGTACCTAAGAGATTTGTTTTCTTCAGCGAAATAAAATTTATTGGAGAGGCGGCACTGTTAAATTACGTCACGTGTATTGAGGACACGCGACGGCAGTCAAATTCAAATAAGATTTTCTGTTTTCGCTGTGATTGTGTCGTTCTTTTGGCACGGCGAACTTAACACGTTTAGAACTGTCAACATATATACTATTTCTAGTTAAATAAACTATATGTATTATATATTTTTTTGAACAAGAGATGAAGGGTAAAAGTAAATAATCAATTTTATCATTTACACAACAAGCATCACGGAAAATTTCGGGATATACCGTCATAAATTTGTTAAAAAATCAGTCATTTTGACAGGTTTAATCATTCTAAGTTAAAAAAGGGAGAAAACTGGCATAATTGCGTATAACTGTAATCGATATGACGGATGAGAATTATTGCTATATTCCTCTTCTTCTCATGTTATTGTACGAGAATTATATAAGAAATAAAAATGCGCGATGTGCGCCGCGGAGGTGTAAACTCCTGCTGCAGATGTTCCTCCTCACGCGAGATGAGTAAAGACACTTGTTGGAAATTACACGGAGCAATTGTGTCGCGGATTTGAAAGATGTGTGAATTATTTCATACGCGCGCGGTACGAGCGCGCACTCGCGCGAGAAGTGCACACGTGAGGCGGGTAAAGGGAGAAAAGAAATTAATGGCGAAATGCCCTCGAGAAAGAGCACACAATAATTACCGCCAACTTTGCATTAATATCAGTTAAAGTTTGACAGGGTACCCATTAACGTTGAATGCGCGTACGATTAAAAATACGTAACCGCCGTGTATCTGCGTAGTCGCCGTATAGGCGAAAAGGTAATTGCCGCATATATTTACGCACTTTGACCCATATTCGCGCCGCGGCGCGCTGTACGTCACGGTAACACGTAGAGAACCTTTCGCGGATTTATGCGCACATAGATGACGAAATCTTGTTTCCCCTCGTTCAATTTCGAGCGGAGTTTGCTCCAGCAAAAGGGATCGTCGTAGTTTACACGTAACACATAAGCGGCGCTTATAATCGAAGGAGGAAAGGTGTGCCCCGCGTGTGCCATCAGGAACACGATAAAACGGGGAGACGTCGCACCTCGACTTCGATGACCGTGGCCATGTCGACGTGGGGTGCGTAGCAGAACGTCAGCTTGTCGGCTGTCGGCGCCTCCGTGCGCGGCGGGAACATCCCCAGGATCTCCAGTTTGCCGGCTCCGCGGGTCAACTCCGGCGATGCACGAGGCTCGGCACACTCCGCGTGGGAATTCGCACGTCTCGGGTGCCTGCACCTCAACTCGGGTCCTTCCTCGTCGTCGTACACATGACACAGCCGCAAGCGGGATCCCGTCCGGTCGTCGTGCTGCTACACCCGCGACTTCCTCGTCGGCCGTCGCATCCGCGCGCGCGATAATACACTGCACACCACGTCGTCGGCACGGGCACATCAAGTCACACTGATGACGGAGAGCACCACCGTCTTCGCTCGCGCGCGACACTATACGAGGCGTGTATTTTCGGAATCGGACGAGAGGCCGCGGGAGAAGCGGAGAGCGGAAATAAAGAATTAGAAAAAAGTTCTTCGAGGTGGAGGAACCTTTCTTTACGCGTGGGACTTACGAAGAATTTAATGTAAATAATCCAGTAAAATTTTAGTATAGAAAACAGATAAAAACAGAGAGAGGAAGAAGAGAGATCACTTGTAAATTAAAAAAAAAATTATGACATGAGAAAACATGACGATATTACAAATAAGTCGCACGGCACTTCATTTATCGATCACTATTGCTCCTGTAGTTTACGCAATATCGCGACAGTTTCGTGGCCATGATACTCCTTCGGCCAACGTCATTTCTTATATCTTTCAGACACATATTCTCCAACTATCACACTCAAATCTATTTCGATTGTGGTCGTATTAACCGATCTGTGCCGGCGCTTTTTGCAGATAGATCGTTCGATCTGCCTCGACCTAGGACCTGCTTCTTGGGAAAACTCGTCTTCGCGCCCTCCACCCCAGGTGAAACAGCAGCTCGTTCGGAAATTTGAGGAAACGACGGACGGAGGGAGGAGGGAACTCGAAAGGGATAAACCGAGGACGGTGCGGCGTTCGGCGCGATTCTTCGACGAGGTTTCGGAGCGAAACAGCTGATCGTGGCCCCCGTGTCGCGGCCGACCGACTGAGCAACGGGGACGTCGCGTCGGCGAGACGTACGAAAGTAAAGCCTAAGAGCCCGTGGTGGCCGCGGACGAAACGGGAGGTGCTACGGTGCGCTCTTACCGAGAGCTACTACTACTACTACCACCACCGGCGATACACCACCTTAGTATTCTGCCCTACCATCCGGCCGGGTGTCCCGGCAAACGCCGGCGAAGGAGCGACGGAGGAGCGAGACAGGAGGTATACGCACCAGGGAGGAGAGAAGGTGCGCCGGTGGTGGACGGGAGCGGGAGAGAGAGAGATCTCTCGTTTGTGCACGCTTACTACTGACGACGACCGAAATTTCGCCCCAGGGTACGCGCCACCACGTGGCACCTAGACCTAGCACCGGCGACGACCCCCCACCAGCCGATGGACGATGGGACGTCCCACGATCGCGCGCGAATAGGAGTAATGGAGCGGTGCTCCGTACGACGCTCGCCGACCCTCGCCAAGCCGGCGAACGCGCGGGCCTCGTGTGCCCGCGCCTCGCGCTCGTCTGCGTACTTCTCGTAGGGATGCTGTGGCCCTCTTACCCCCTTGAGAGCGCAGAGAGAGCGAAATATTACGAATCTTAACACGGCTTACGGTGGAACTAATTCAATCGTTAAATTCTTAACAATTTTAATGATAAATTGCTGGGAAATATACGATGGAATTAATTTGTATTTAATTAGGAGAATGTATTTATGTATATTCTCTTTCGATAATAAAACTAGAAATTAAATTTTCGTTAAAGTTAATGTTAAAAAATAAGATTTTTTTTTATTTACTATCTACTTTTGATCTTTACGATTTAATCTTCGAGACACTTTAATTTTCGTCCCCTTAATTCTACATCTTTGGATATAATGATAAATATTCAGACCTATAATAATATAGTTTTTAAGATACAGAATAAGATGTGTATCTGTAATTATTGCAGTCGTTGCTATATGTATCTGTAAAGAATAAAGTAACGCGAGATTTCAGATAACTGGTTTTACTGGCCCGGCTCCGCCGTTGAAAATTAAAGGTGCTCAGAGTTACGACGAAAACCTGTCAAGGTTTGAAATCCCTGTCGTTCATATCGAGATTAGCATTGACTCGCGTTTGCTCAATTTCCGTATGCGAATACGTCGCCGCATTATTTCACGTGATGGCTCATTATTAAGACATCATTCCGAAAAGCGGTCGTCACCATAACCAGGTGCCACATTACGCAATATTGTATCAACAAGAAAATAAAGCTTACCTTGGACAACCTATAATTCGTGTCAAAATTCAGAACAGAATCCTATTTATAATTTTATATGCCGTGTAACACATTTGAGCAATCAAAAAATACACATATATATCTAGAGACATGGTAGTGGCTTGGTGTTTAACTACTAAAAAAATTATATACATATTTTATAAAATGTATACACTGAAATAGACATTTAAATATAAACATAAAATTATAAATAATATTATTGACTGACTGATACGAATTATAGATCGTTCAAGGTGGAGTTAATGCACTGACATTGGAACGGATGTAGATCATACGTCATTTCTTCTTACTTCGTCAAGCACAGAAAATTCCTGCCTGAGAATTCAAAAGGAAGCGAATACAACTAAAAAGCAAAAGTTGCGTATCGCGCGGACCGCGGACGTTACATAAGTCCTGCCTCCTGAATTGCGGTATTCCGACATTTGCAAAAATCCGCTATTTTTCTCACCGGGCGTAGTTCCACCAATACATTTGTTTATTAAATCACCTTATGCCAACAATATTAATGACACGTCGTGCGAGATAAGAAACGCAAACCTTATCCGCAGCGATCGTATGCCGCTCGTTATCGTGTAAACGTCACATTTATTAACGCGTAGCGAGAGGTTGGAATTGGAGCGGGCGCTGCCAATACCGCTGTTTATTAGATTCAAGATTAATGTTCGCCGCGTCGAACGAATTATTTAAATTGATGGCTCGCGCGAATGAACGATCGTACAACTCGGAGGCGCGCAAAAATGTCCCGTTGGCGCTCATTCACGTCTCCTCCGCGTCCGCGCGGCGTGGAGAGGAGAGGGACCTCGCGGTAGGAGTCTCGCTATTAATTTGCAAGGTGAAAACGGCCGTCAACGTTGGGGTACGGCCGGCGCGCGTACACGTTGCTCGCCGGGTCGTCGACACACTGGGCGTAATTTATGCCGGTGTAAATTCTGCAACGTAATTACGGGGCGATGCGCCATTCACACGAATGTTATACGCCGAAGTTAAACGTCCGGACGAAACGGTCGCGACGCGTTCTTTCTGCGCGAAACCCGGATGCTCTCCTCCGCCAGCGTCCCACGAGGAGAGAATATCCGCGCGAACGTGGATCCGTCGTCTCTCGCGGCCGCCGCCGACGCGCGAGGGGTGTCCGCAACAGTGTTTGTAATTCTCGAATACGTGAATCACACACCTCGAGTTAGCGATGCACGGAGAGCCCGGCTATACGCACGAATAAAGATAGACTTTCCGTATCTGCGCCCCGACAAACTCTTTCGAGACTAAATCTATATACGTTCGTCTCGCAAGCGTGATGAATGGTTCATCGTTATTTATATCTACGAAGCGGGATAATCGAGACTGATATGTAATTTCGATGATGTATCTTCTTATCGGTGCGATAGGAAAGAAATGCATCTCGTATTAATTATGACAGGCTCATACCGTTGCGTGAATCTCTTCTCCCTCCCTCCGTTCAAGTTCCATTTTTTTATAATTGAAAGATAGAAACTCGATACTTCTATCGGTAGTTAATCACCGAGCGATCGCTGATGGGTATTCGATTTGACGTACGGACGCTCTCGATTAATCACGCCTTTCGTTTCGGCGGCTAAAAAATCATGAATATAAATCAGTAAACGAAAAGAAACGCTCCTCGTGCACGGCCGAACGGCAAAACGTTGTAATATCGGATAGACTGTCAGTGCGCGCGAGTCGTGATCGAACGCACAGTGTTGTCGTTCGATACAAAAATGTTCTTCCTGGAGCACTTGGAACCAGTTTGTCCGGTGAGTTTCCGTAAGAAATTCTTTTTTTCCTCTCTCTCCCTCTCTCTCTCTCTTGATTTCATTCCGACCGATGGACTCCGGATATCGTATAAAAGCAGACGGATCGATAAATCAACCCGATCGAACAGGGTGTTTCTGGGAATCTCTCGTGATAGAAACGTAAATTCGGGACTTCTCTTAATTTTGTTCGGCTCGGCTCGAACGAACGTAACCAGTTTGCCCGGTGAGTTTCTGCAGGCACAGTAGCTGAAATAATTGTCCGGTTATTACGTGCCATTAATGACGGTTTAAATTACAAATTAGATTTTGCGGATCGTTGCGAAATAATGATATAGAATTATGACAGATCGATAACTGCAAAAGTGAGAGCATATTTGAATTTATGTAATTCGCGTAGCGTATAGCAAAATCGTAGCACAAAATTTAAATTGCCTTCTAATTAAAAAAAAATAATAAGGAATGTAAATTGTTTCAACGCATCGTGCCTCGCTTTACATCGATATTACCTACATTCTACCGTTTATAAATTTATAGGCCACCGTGCGGTTGTCGTACGCGCCGATTTTTCATCCCAGTTTTGCCGCGATAACGATCGCGGGGAGCGTTTATCCCGCTCTATCACGAAACTTTCGATAATCGCTCGCGCTCGAGGCCTTTCTCGAAGGAAATTTCTAGATGGGTGTGTTCGCGCGCGTTTCTAATCGTACGCCCTCCGAACGACAAAAGATTTCCATAGGAGAGATTTATGTCTCTCCGCAATTTTTGCACCTTCACCCGCGCTTTCCTTCCTCACCGGCGAATTAATGGCGCACTTATTGCACGTGTTAAATCGGGGATCCGAGATCCGCGCGGGTCGCGCGCTGCGCTAATTCCGAGCACGCCTCGCGTGCTAATAGGAATTTACTGAGCAAACAAAACGATATTGCACTCGATCGTTAAGTGACAGAGAGATTGTATGGTGCTTTCTACACGAGACCCGCGATGAAATGAAAATATTTCACGTGAAATCCTCCGCAAGGATATATAAATTCCAAAAGGTATGCCTTGATTAATTACTGTCAGCGAATGAAGTCGGACATCGCCGCCCAATCGAAGCCTCGATCGGGGAGAAAAGGGTCGGGACTTGGACGACGATCGGCGACCGCGCGGAGAGTACGCGCTCGCGTGTACAAGTATGAAAGACACGTGAGAGAGAAAGAAAAGGGGCAGGGAGAGAAGACGAAGAGG